TGGAGGCACTAATACTGCCAGAATGTGAATCGCGATTGAGGACAACACATGCTTAATAAGTAGAACACGAGCACTCATTGACAGCCACTGACCTCGCCAAGAGCTCAAACGCTGTGAAACTTTATCCAATAAACCATTGAACAAGGATCTCACCCTTCTCCCAGCATACAAGGGGCAACCCAAGTAAGTGACTGGTAGCTCTTTAAAAGAAAATCCCGTTGTTCACGCAATCACTCTACGCCGTACAAGCGATACCTTCCGTCCACCAAAAGCAGCTCTTAGAAGCATTCACCAACTATCCTGAGATTATCTGATATTTGCCCAATACCTCCATAACACATGCTAACGAACGTTTACTACCATTACAAAAGATAATGATGTCATCAGCATAGGCAAGGTGTGTCAACGGCGGACATCCATGGGCAACCAAGTATGGAGAAAATTGCCGGTCCTCCACCAAAGTATTCAAGCTCCTCAAAAGGACCTCAGCCGCAATGATGAATAGGGCAGGGGATAATGGGTCCCCTTGGCACAGCCCCCGAGAGGATTTGAAAAAACCACAAGGTTTCCCGTTAATAAGAACAGAGAAATGGCATGAGGAGATCAACCGCCAAATCATATCTATCCAGCACTCCCCAAAACCAAACTTCCGTATAACTTGAATTAAAAAACACCAAGAGACCCGGTTACACGCTTTGGCCACATCCAACTTTAGCGCAACATTTGATCCCCTAACCTTCTTTCCCAACGCCAAGCACATTTCCATAGCCAGCAATATATTATCAGAGATCTGCCTACCCTTCACAAAATCACTCTGCTGAGGCGATATTAGTTTAGGTAGAATCCCCTCCAAGCGCATTGCCAGCAGTTTCGATATGATTTTATTAACAAAGTTACATAGACTGATTGGCCTAAACTCCGAAAATGAGAACGCCCCTAGTATTTTCAGAATTAAAGCCAGCAGCGTCGATGTGTATCCCTAAGGCAGCTCTGCACCAGTGAAGAAATCACAAACCGCCCGACAGACATCACCCTTTACTATTTCCCAACAGGAAGTAAAGAAAAAGCCCGTAAACCCCTCTGGCCCTGAACAACTCTCCCCATTCATATGGAATACCACTTTTTTAACCTCTTCCTCAGTAGACACTTGTTGAAGAGCCTCATTCTCCTACTCAAAGACAATTGAAGGGATAGCGTCTAACCATGATTGATCTACCTGTACTTGATCAGATTGTGCCAAAACTTCAGCGAAGTACTCAACCGCCATGTCTTCAATTTTAGATAGCTCGTCAACCCAGACTCCATTCTTATCCTTCATTCGATGTATATAACAATACGCCCATCTTTGCTTGAACTGGCCATGAAAGAATCTAGTATTGGCATCATCTTCCTTTAACCACCGAATACAAGCTTTCTGATGCCAATATCTGGCTTCCTTCAACAGAGCTGCCTTGAAGTCACATTGCGCCTTGAGAAGCCGATGATGCCCTTCTTCCGTCGGATTTGCCTCTAAAGAACATTCCAATAACTGGACCTGCTCTTTTCCTTCCCGGACCTGATCAGTAACATTTCCAAAAGAATCCTTGTTCCATACCCGTAACGCATGCTTCACCGCTTTCAATTTCAAAAGCAAAACCCTAACCGGTCGGCCCTCACACTCCACCTCCCAAGCTTGACGCACCACCTTAAGGAAATCACCGTGGGACCTCCAAACATCCAAGAAACGGAAACTACGAGGACCTCCGCCAACAGCCAGGAAACAAGTTACTAGCAACGGAGAATGATCCGAAGCAACTCTATTCAAATGCGCCACTGCGGTATTAACGCCTAGATCCAACCATAACTGGTTCACCAGAACTCTATCTAGACGCTTCCAGATTCGAGCCCTTCCCAGACGATTATTGCACATTTGCACCATGTGAACTTAGACCCAGAGAAACCCAAGTCCGTCAAGCCAGCACCATCAGTAAAATTTAAAAAAGACTCTGCCTCAGAGAAACGAAACGGCCGACCTCCTTTCTTCTCCTCAGACCCAACAACAACGTTAAAATCACCTATGAAGATTGTCGGCTCTCCCAACGAATGCACCTTTGATAATTGCAGCCAGAACAGCTCACACTCATCTAGGTCACACGAAGCATGAATAAATGTTGCAATAAAGGAACGGCGAAAATAAGTATAGGCAATTTGCAACGCCAAAAATTGATGAGAAACCGCAACAATGTCACACTTATATTCAGCATCATAAAAAACCCAAATCCTACTTTCATCATTAGAGACACCAAACGGGAAACCCAGCTTCCGACGAACAATATCTAGATGCTCACACCCCACCATTGGTTCACACAGGGCTAATAATGAGATTTGATGTAGAAGTTTCAATTTTCTCAAGCGAGCTAAAGTAAGAGGTTTGTCCACCCCTCTAGCGTTCTAGAAGAGGGACTTAATCATGACTCCGAGTAGCAAAATTTTTGGGGTTGTGCACCACTTCTCTTTGACCTACGGTGAGTGACCTGTTGCCATTCATCTGGGTTCCTCAGCCCATCCACTTGCCGCCGCAAGTCATCCAGGGATGTGTCTATCACCTCAGTAGTCTTGCGAGGAGAGAGGTTAAGAATGCCAACCATCGAAGTTTGCGGCTATCCACCTCTGCCTGCACCCGGCCCCGCAAGCCTGTTTCTAGTTCAATTCTATCACTCGCTGGCTCGACACTACTAGCCAAGGCCACAACAGCATCTCGGACATCAGCATCAGTTTCACTGACAACCTTGTCAGCAAGAGTATGAATCAGTTGGTCTGCCGCAGCCTCTATCGCCACTTCAACCATTTCAGGAAGGCCTGAAGACACCCTATTCTGCGTCAAGTCCAAAACTAGGGGCGGTTGATGCAGAAGATCATCCATCACAGGTGCTACATTAGTTTCGCCAGCCGCGAGGGCCTGTCACACTTCAGATTCTAGCTGCACCAACACACCAGGAGCAGTATGTTCCTACTTATCATCCAGTGAAAACGAGCTGGGACGCCCCTCACTTTCTGGGTCCGCGTTGCCCAGAGCAACCAGAGGCTCGGGATGCTTCACCTGCAAACCCCGATCCAATCGTACTTCCCCCAACCCAGACTTCTGCGGAGCATCTACCGTCGATGGGCGGAGCTCAGTGTCGCGCCCCATTTTTTTAAAAAAATAAAATAAATGGTTTAAAAAAGTGAATTTTAATTCAATTTTTGATTGGAAAATAAATTTTTGATTTAAAAAGAAAATGGCCTAAATGGGACTTGCAATGCGACGATTTGGACCCAAATTATAGTTTAAAAAGGGTTTTTAAATAAAAAATCGGAGTCGCCACTTGGTATAGAGTTAAGGTGTACCAAGCAACCTAAAAATGAATTTTCAAACAAAAAGTAGAAAACCCTTTTTAAACGACTCCAAGTCAAAGAAAATCAAAGAAACGTGTTCGGGAGTCACATTTGAAAAAAGGGAAGGCAAGGATAAAATTCAAAACACCCTTTCAACCTAGCCAAAGCTAGTTGCGTGATTTAGTCAAAGATTTTTTTATTTTAAACTAAGAATTTATCACATTTGGACGTACTATATTAATGCAAACCCTACACCTAAGAGGGTATCGAAGAGGTCAAAATATCGTTTCAAAATTTAATTGGTGCCAATCACATTAATTGTGATGCCCAATAGGTATTCTTTGAAGATGCCACGAATAATGCAAAAATATGAGATTCTAAAGAAAGAAAAGAAAAATAATAAAGATAATTATAATTATACAAATATACACGACCTAAAGGAATGCATCATGTCGGGTATGGGGGACTAATGTTCGTGACTCAATTTTTCCTTCAATAAAGGGAATACGAGTGTGCTAAGGCTAGAAAGCCAAACTCGTCCATATCCCATACTCAAGGGGTGTTTCGCTATCTAATCAAGTAAATGCACTACCCTAATTTTAATTCTTAAATGAAATGCAAGTCTAATGTTATGTATCACGCATAGAGATATATATCTATAGGAAAATTTGGGATAAGGGGTATACATATACAGAGGAAATGAGGGGAAAGGGTTAAATGTATAAGGGGAACATGCGAACATGATAAAAGACCCTAGAAAGTAAAATATGCATGCGATGAAGTGATTTTACCACACGATCATGATCTAACGCTCGTAGGGCTCCTAAGGGTCTAGCGTTGGACTAACCCATATCTATGAATCCTCACTAGCATTGGACTAGTGAAAAAATCGGGAAAAGGGTCACAACTAATGTTGGACTAGTGTGGTATCGAGAAATGGATCACAACTAGCGTTGGACTAGTGTGATAACATGTTACATATTAATTATAACTAATCAAATAATATAAAGCATAATAAAGCAAGTAAACACATGCACTACAAGAAAATTGTTCATCAGTGACAACACAAAGTCATTACAGAACATACAAATATCGTCACAAATACCTTTTATTGACGACTTTTTGATCGTCACAAAGTCGTCACTAAATCCCCGTCGGTAAAAGTAAACAGTGACGACCTAAAATGTCATCACTAAATAGTTCTCATTAGTGACGACTTTAAGTAGAGCATTTTTGACAAAAGATCAAGTCGTCAATAAAACACTTCCAAATTGTCGTCACTAATGACAACTATTTAGTGACGACCTGAAATGTCATCATTAAATAGTTGTCATTAGTGACAACAATCCGGAAGTGTTTTATTGACGAATTGACCTTTTGTCAAAAATGCTCTACTTAAGGTCGTCACTAAAAAGCACCGAAAGCCATTGTATATAACTATTTTACTGACAACAATTGTCGTCACAAATGTAGCTTAGATTTAGTGACAGTCTCTGTTGTGACAAGGTGTTTTTATTTTCTATTTTGTCACAACTCTTTTTTGTCATTAGATAATTTCTCAATAGCTTAATAGTCATAATTTGGCCTGTAATCATTGCTAAATCATTGATTTTAAACAAACCATACAAATAAACATGAGCGATTGATAACCAAAAGTATTTGCATTAGATTACATGGTAATAATATAGCATTCTCAAATGCCAAATTCAAGTGTACATTACTCAACTAATGCCTACAAAAATAACATTTGTCCAAAATATCACTTGTACATAAGGTACATTTACAAAAGCAATCACAATTTAAGAAATTGAAGAACATCTAAATGAACCACTCCATGAGCAAAAGGCAATTTTGTCTTCAACATTCTTCAACCATAACCGTAGATATCTTCCAAAAGCTAGTATGAATAGCATTTATCTGTCATAAAAGAGTAAAAGAAGTAGGTAAGGGGAGGAGTACAATAATAAAGAACAAGTAATGAGACTTAGATTATTAAGACAAAAATTACAATTCATTAAGAACCTCATATAATTTAGGCCCACATATTACAACACCAGCAAGAAGTTAGAAATCACAGTCCAATCTATACAAATACAACACTGCATAAGCTCAACTAAAGAGCTCTCTAAAACAGTTTTTTTTTAATTTTCTTTCGTCTTCTTTAAATAGCTCAACTTATTGAACAATTAAATTGGACTCCCACAGTAATTATTGTTTAATCTTTATGCTTTTGGTTGTTTATATATTAAAATACAGAAAGCAACTTATTGTACGAGGTGTGAATACAGGAGGTACTAGCCCTCTTTGATTTTAGGAGTTTATGCTTCATAAATCACGAAGGAAACGATGCCTCTGTAGGATTAAACTGTGCAAAGAGAATGAGCTATTTGCCTCACAATGTGAAAGTGAAGACCATCTAAACAGGTGAAACCAATCAAAGTTCACAAACGCCCCCTTTGCATTATATTCATTTCTTTCAAGTCACTACATAGGCAAAAAGAAGATTGCTATCCATGCATGGTCTGTCGCTTGTACTTGGAAATAATATACTATTGCAGATGAACAATCAGATTTTTACCTCTCTATTGATAAACTAATAGCACTATATACATGATACCTAGATATTTCTCAAAGAATAAGTTCATATAACAATGATGCATAACATCAGCCCCAAAAAATGTTATTACACAACCATCAGCCCCATAACCATATCCATAAACTACACAACCATAACAAAAAATAGTCCACAATGATGGATAACATCAGCCCCAAAAAATGTTATTACCAGCTATTACCAAAAAATAGTCCACAATGACCACAAGTTACCAAAAACTACACATCAGCTATAACCATAACCATAAACTACACAACCATAACAAAAAATAGTCCACAATGATGCATAACATTAGCCCCAAAAAATGCTATTACCAGCTATTACCAAAAAACAGTCCACAGTGACCACAAGTTACCAAAAACTATAGATCAGCCATAACCATAACCATAAACTACACAACTATAACAAAAATAGTCCACAATGATGCATAACATCAACCCCAAAAAATGCTATTACCAGCTATTACAAAAAAACAGTCCACAGTGACCACAAGTTACCCAAAAACAGGTCACATCAGCCCCAAAAAATGCTATTATCAAAAACAGTCCACAATGATGCATAACATCAGCCCCAAAATCAATAAGTTAAAGGATCAGAATAGCAACAGTTCACATTAGTATTGTAATTCAATTATTCGTATGAGAAGGATGCATTACCAGCTATTACTACCAGATGCATTACCAGCTATTACTACCAGATGCATTTCCATTGCCTTGGTTCTTGGACTGCAATTCTGCTCGTAAAGCCTTAAGGAGTTCCTGCATTTCAAGCTGCTGGTTTTGCATTTCAGCTTGTTGATTCTCAAGCCTTTGCATCAGCTGCTGTTGAGATTGGACTTGAACTTCCAATTCAACTGATCGTTTCTCAGCTTGTTCTGCCCTTTTCTTGAATTCTTCTATCTCTGCAAGTTTTTGTGTAATTAAACTAGCCTTGGAGGGGCCACGCCCACGTACATATCCAGTTATACGCCCAATCACCTCAATACAGATGTCTTCTTCGGTTCGATTTACACCACTAGATTGAGCTTCTAGCTGTAAGTCCTTCATTTTGCTCTACAATCATAGGTTTGCTATTATTGATATATGCATAAGAGACATGAAGCATTGGTATTCAGTTGAAAGTGATATTTTTCTTACCAGTTTTTCAGCTGATGTCTCGTCAACCATAGCATTCTTCTTTCGACTAAAATGTGTCATGTCATAAAGTTCAATTGGTCCAACTGTCCTTCCCTCCTTAGCTTCCTATTAGCAAAACAGGTTAAATAACCCAACCACATATCATAAATGAACTACTTTACACGTTTACTGACCCGGTCATCCTTATGACGTAAAAATGATTTTGTTCCAGCTGTATGGGCAGTTTGCTGCTTTGATCTATTCAGCTTATTTCGCTCACTTAAGGCCTACAATTGTCAATTCTATCTCAGATCTAGATAAAAAAGAGACATTGGCAAAGTATATAGCAAATTAACAAGTATGTGCTACACATACCTTGAATTCTGGACTACAATAGTAATCGCAAAGGTAAATCCAATCTGATTCTTCCACATATTCTGGTCGATGTGCAAGAGCTTCCTCCTTAGAGCCACATTTTTTGAATAGCATGTGAAAATTATAACGTCGACTTCTATACTGTGAATTTAATTGCTTAATTAAAGCTGGTTTCACATGCTCTCCTCCATCATAAGTGAAACTATTCTGAATTAAAAATAGAAGGACATATCAAAATCAGAAAAAATTAATGGACTAATTTAAATTGCATCTAGAACACCAAAAAAATACTATGATAGCAGATTCTTACATTAGTAATTCTTAGCAGTTGATCTCTATCATCTTTAGGAAGCATGCCCCATTTAGGTGCTTTCCACTTGCCATACTTTCGAATAACGCAGCTTGCCTCTGAAATGTATCGTTGAGCACCTTCTCCAACTATTCTTCCACTTATTTCAGAAACAGTAATATTCACCTTTTTTCCAGCTTTCTTTTCATTTGATAGTGCAATATTACGCGTATATCCTCTTTTTCTTTTTAACGTCACTTGGTCTAGTAGATACAAAGTAAACAAGACCATATTCTATCAATAGCAGCCATGGCAGTAATTAGTTAATTAGAGTAGAATTACACGTAAAACTAACATACCTGAACCGTTTGACTCAAGGTCTTGCATACTTCCAGTTTCATTGCTTTCACAACCAATAGCTTGATTAGATCCAACATGCTGTGAAGTAGGAGTTCCATCAGTTTGCATCCCAGCAGCTTCTTGTGATGTCATTCCATTGCCTGAAGATTTTTCAGCAATCTGTCTACTCTCAGCTTGTATACCTGAATTTCTTGTAGCATTTTCTCTAGCAGAGGATGCACTAGGAATCTATAGGCCAGCAATTTAAGCCACCATTATACAGCGACATGTATAAGCTGAATCAATTGCTTTGTCATAAACCAGTTTTTTTAAATGGCAGATTGAAAAAAATAATAACTAACCTCAGATTCATCAAATAGACGGATCCTAGAAGACTTTTTTGTTAATACAGGTTCAGTGACATTGCTTGTCTTGGGAATTGCACTATTTTTTGGTTCACTAGCTTGCTACAATAACATAAGAATGCGCTTATCAATAGTAACTAGTTTAGGATGATAATTGCTAGTTTAGGAAAAAAGAAAATATCTGGAAATGACTCTTGTTTCTTTACCTGGCAGCTTACATTTTCTTCAGTTTGCTCCACAATTCCTCGCCCAGCATCCCGACTTTGTCGTAAAGTAAATTTTCCCTTTTTCCCCGGTCCAGCCATCTATCTACATAATCATATAACGCAAGCACCACCAAAATCGTAAACAACACAAGCAGCCATGACAACATATCATAAACTACAGAAAAAATACAAGAAAAAATTTCATTAAGAAATTCAATGAACAACATTGTTTAATCTGATTCATAGTCATTGATTTGTACAAATTGTTCATTTTCATCCTCAGAATTGAATTGTTGCTCAATTTCCTCATCATTATCAATAAAATTGTCATCCAATTGCCTTGCACGGCTAGCTGACAATTCTATAAAAAACATAGCACCAGCCTCTATCCTTTCTTCAGTTTGCACATCTCCTCTCTTCAAACTGACCAACTCAAGATTTTCTACCACCCCAATCAAATCTTCATGATACTCTTCTTGGTAAGCCTCTTCGTTATCAACCAAATCATCTTCATGCTTCTCAGGAACATCATAAGATGAGCGTGGACTAACTAACTCTACAACATGCCAATTACCTCCAAGTTTCATATCTTGAAGATAGAAAACTTGTTCAGCTTGGGATGCTAATATAAAAGGCTGGTCTGAGTACCATGTTTTTGACATGTTGATGCTAGTGATATTGCTCTGCTTGTCTACTTTGATTCCCGAATTATTTCTCAAGTCCCACCAATCACATTTAAACACAACTACTCGATTTTGAGTAAATGAGTATTCAACCTCAACTATATCAGTAATTATACCATAGAAGTATATTTCTTTATCAGCATGCTCCCCCTTTATCATAACTCCACTATTTTGTGTCTTTCTTTCTCTTTCCCGAGCCTTAATGTGGAATCTAAATCCATTCACATTACAGCCAGCAAATGTATTGACTCGAAAATCAGGTCCTCTAGCCAAGGACAACAATTCATCAGTACATTCTCCACGTGCATGTGTATACATGACCTACATCAGCCATACCAGATTCTTTAATAGTTTACTAAAATAAAAAGTAAAGGAAATTGACAAGTTTTTAACATCTCTTCCAATACTTACACGTTCTTCAAACCACTTTGGAAACTCCGAGTCTAGCATTTGCTGTACGCTCGATAAATTTTGCTTTTCAAGAATTTGTCTATGCTCCCTAAATTTGTAGTAGTAGAAGTAGTTACATATTCTATCAAATGACTTTAATTACAAGCACTGAAGAACATATTATAGAACACGACATAGATTTATCATTAAAGTATATTATTACCTCATGTAATCATCTACTTCTTCACAATTTTTCAAGATGAACAGGTGTATTCTTTGCAATTCAACCTCACTTAGATAACCAATCAGTGCTGCCCCAAAGGGCCGAGCCAAGCTAGAAAATATAGATAATTTTCCAGCAGCTTCGCGTTTCTCCATATTTCGTTCCGTTTGATTAAACCTGGTCGGAACATCATGCAAATACCTGGAAATGAATGTAAGACATTCATCATCCAAGTAGCGCTCAGCTATACAGCCTTCAGGTCGTGCCCTATTATTCACATAACCTTTGTATTGACCCATTTTTCTATCCAAAAAAAATTCAGCCCGAGTTGTTAGAAAATAAGAAAATTGGAGGTAAATCAAATAGGCATTATTAAAAAATAAGAGGCATGTACCTCTCAAATGGAAACATCCACCGGTATTGGGCTGGACCAGCAATCTTGGATTCAGTGGGTAAATGGACCATTACATCAAAGAAATTTGGAGGAAAAATTTTCTCAAGTTTGCATAGTATTAAAATAATATTTTTTTCCTGCATTTCCGACTCATCTAGATAGAGAGTTCGAGAACAAATTTTTCGAAAAAAATTGCTGATCTCTACTAAAATCTGAGATACATCTTTTGACAGCATTCCTCTAGTTGCTAGTGGAAGAAGTCGTTGTATGAACACATAGTAGTCATGACTCTTCATTCCTAAAAGTTGACACTCCTTGGTCTTCACACACCGAGGAATGTTTGAAGCAAAGCCATCCGGGAACTTGATAGTGCTCAAAAACTGGCAGAAATTCTTTTTCTCTAGGCGTGATAAAGTGTAACATGCAGGTGGCATAACTTTAGATGCGCCACCTCCCGGTTGTAGATGCAACTCTTCCTTTAATCCCATTTCTTTTAAATCCTCCCTAGCCTGCCATGTGTCCTTAGTTCTCGAAGGGATATTCATTAATGTACCTACCAAAGATTCACATACATTCTTGACAATGTGCATAATATCCAAATTATGTCTAATTTTATTGGTACTCCAATATGGAAGTTCAAAGAATATGCTCATCTTCTTCCAATTTGAACTGTTCTGCACGCGTTTTCTTTTCTTCTGTTGCAGCAAATCAGGTGCCTTGCCAAACTCAACTTGCTCAATACGAAGAAGTTGTTGGAGGACTTCCTCACCTGATAGGGTTCTAGGAGGCTGTCTATGTTCTCTTTCTCCATTAAATTGCTTTTTTTCTCGACGCCATTTATGATCAATAGGCAGAAAACGGCGATGGCCCATGTAACAACATTTGTGACCATTATTAAGATATAGACTAGTCGTCTCATCTAAGCACACAGGACATGCCTTGTACCTTTTTGTACTCCATCCCGACAAATAGCCATATGCTGGAAAATCGTTTATTGTCCACAAAAGTGCTGCACGTAACATGAACTTCTCCTCCCTGAAGGCATCATATGTCTCCACACCAGTGGCAAATAACTCTTTTAACTCATTAACTAGTGGTCTAAAGAATATGTCAATGTCATTTCCAGGTGCTTTGGGACCAGGAATAATCATTGATAGGAAAAAAAATGGATCTTTTAAGCATTTCCAAGGAGGTAGATTGTAAGGAACAAGGATAACAGGCCACATACTGTATGAATTGCTCATGGTTCCAAAGGGATTAAAGCCATCACTAGCAAGTCCTAGCCTCACATTTCTAGGATCTTCAGCGAAGGACTTGTGATTTCTATCAAAATCCTTCCAAGCTAATGAATCAGCAGGGTGTAGCATCATGTTCTCATTATCTACACGTCTCTCCTTATGCCACCTCATATCCTGAGCAATCTCTTTGTTCACAAACAGTCTTTGCAGCCTTGGTTTTAATGGAAAATAACGCAACACCTTTCTAGGTATTTTGGAATTTGGAGATTTATACTGCGGTGCTTTACATTTTTCATCTGGACAATGATCAAGGCCT